CGCCTACCCAAAAAAGGGAAGCTTGGTACGGCTATCCTTCCTAATTACAACGGCTCTGGTCCCTAACTACCTATGAACCTCCACGGATCTTTGTTTGAATCTATAGGAGGAGGCAGGGAACTTAGGCTTAAGGGCGTCCTTCTCCAACATCTCTCAAACCAGAACCGCACACGAGCACGCGGGGCAGATAGGAGTTTGTCTGGAGGACACTAACAGCAATACTTATAGTAATAGTAGTGGTAACAGCAAGAGTACTCAATAAAAAGAATAGTAACAGAAATTTTGAGAAGAGCAAGAGTATTGAGAAATCCTGAGGTCCAGCGGAGCGATCCCAGCGAGCGTGGTAGATTCGGCATTTTCGCCACTGCCTTTTACGCACTAGATGGGTGGTACATGTTCGGTGTTTCTCAGTGCATGAGGCACCTGTACAACCCTTGGAACATAAACAGGTAGATAGACAAATAGATAGAAAGATCCTAGGGAAAAATACTCCAAGCCTCGAGAAACCCCAGGCCCTACACCCGGCACGGTGGACCCAAACACTACCCCACACCCTAACCCTACAACATGCTTACTAACACCTTAAGTTCTGGCCGTAAGCCCCTCATGGAGTCGTAAACCCCAAGCCCTCACAACTAAGCCCTGACCTAGACATCCCAGATACCAATTATGATAGCCTTTAAACCCAAAAAAGGGCATCTACCTTATCATGGGTAATTGGGAGGTCCAGGTAAACTCCCAAGCCTACACCGCCGCCGCAGACCACCCCAACCTCCCCCCAGCTCCGCCGCCAACTTCCTGATGCATCGCCAAGCAACTCAAGCCAGAAATCCATCGCAGGGCTGACTTCAGAAGGCCAATGATCTCCTTCAGTTCAGGTCTGTGGGGCTTTAGGCTCAGGCTTTAGGTTTAGTTAGAGTTCTTGGGGCTCTCGCGCTTTAGTCCGTAGATGTTGTAGGGTTTTGGGCACAAGGCTTCTTAGGGTTTCTTTTGTTTGTGGCGCGAGTTTGAAGACTTTCGGCAAAATGGTAAGGACAACTTGAACACTTTGCAGATTTCTGGCGTTCACAGGCGGCCTGTGTCGGGCTCCACGTTTTGAATGAGGGGGGGGGCTTGATTGAAGGCTCATGAGTAGCTGTAAATGGGGCGCAGCAGTCAATGACTATCCATGCACGTTACCCGCCAATCCGTTTTTTTTTGTAATTAGGTAACTAACCCGTAGATAGTCTGTTGGTTTGCGAGGAACCTCCTATCTTACTCGTGTAAACCACAAGGGGCGATTCTAGGTGTTCCTTCTAAGCACCAAAACAAATATTCAACACCCGCATCACCAGGCCTGATCCCAATTGACCCTAGAACTAGGCAGGTATATCCTGAAGGACTAGCGTTCTCCATAGAATGGAAACTTGGAGAGACGAAAGGATATTACCTGGCTAGAATTCAGGCTTTCCCTACCTAGCCCTACGCATTTAGAATATCTTGGAGATCTTGCACACAAATACCTGCCTGAGTGCTCCAATGTTTTCATCTTTTTGCATTCAGAAGTTGTGGGGCGTGCATGAGAACAAGGAAGGAACAGGAACGCGTCTGCCTATGGTGTGTTGTTGATTCTCAATTGACCCTCCGCCGCACTGCTGTTCATCCTTGCCCTGTTCTAACCTTACATGTGCATATTAAAAATTCTGTGTCCACGCACAGGCCTCTTTGGGTGGCAAGTCCATTGCTCAGGAAGCAGAACAAGGCATTGTTGTCTGATGAAAACTTGAGTTAGGGTCTGAAAGGCCCCAAACGGGATTGACCCGAGAAGGAATTGCAACGGAACCGTGTAATTCGTTTATTAGAGGGTCTGTGTCCTATCTGGGGGACCCTGAGGATCTACTTGAACATCACAACCGGACCCAAAACCCTCAACAATTTCACTTCCATTTGATTATCCGATACTCCATTACCCCCAAACTCTAAGCATTGTCCTGTCTTTTGGGGTCTCCATTGTAAACTGAAAAACCACCCGCTGCGCCGAGGCGCCACTGCCGCACCATCACGAGGCGTGGCGGGCTTACCTTTGTTGCCGGCCTCCCAGGGACGCGGTTTGGGGTTTCGGATTTGTTGCCAGCCTTCTAGGGATGTCTGTCTTACTAATGCTGGCGGGGAGCAGGGGAGGAAATATAGGCACCAATTAGGCGATTATGCACAGAATCTATGCGCAATATCAGGAGAATAGGCAGTACCCACTCCCGCCTGAGAGCACAAGTAAGTCTTGCGCAATTCACGGAGCTGTTCTCAGATCAGGCTGGGCGGCTGTCTCAGAGTAACTGTACAAGTTCTTTTTCTTCAGCTCACACTCCGCTCCCCTGAAACCGCGAGCCTACTCGGGGGATTTTGGTAACCCTAACCCCAAGTACAAGGACCCCAATTCTTCTCATGGCGTCCGTGTTCTAGGGGCACCAAAATTCCCTCATTCAAGCCCAGAACCTAGACCCTGATGAGGCCACCTCGACGAAGATGGGATTTGGCAGTTTCCATAAGAAAGGCAACCCAATAATCAATAATAGGCACCAAAATACTGTGATCCCTGTTTTCTGGGACTCCCAAACAGGACCCCTGATACTTGGAAACACCCGTTTCCAACATCAGCAACCAGGCAAGGGCCTTGGCCGACGAGCCCATCTTGTCCATCCAGGTGCCTGTGCTGTTACAGCTCGAAGAACACATACTTTAAAGTGAAGGGCGTATAGTTTAGGGTATACGGCTAGTAGGGAATAAGGGAATATAATATAGGGTTTAGGGTTTAGGAGGGTGTAGGGCGAGTGTAGGACTTAGGGTGTACAGTAGGGATTTTTGGCTTAAGGCTTAGAAAAAGGGCCCCTCTGCACCCGACGGAGAGATGCAGATGATAGGGACACTGGATGAGACCCTATCATGGGGCTAGTTGAGAGGTTTGGGGTTTAGGGGTTTAAGCTGTAGGGCTGTGCCTCAGAGTGCTCCTAACAGCCTTTCGCATCTGATTCCTCAACCCTTTTTTTCAACCCAGGACTCTCTCCGAACTGCTGGGGGCCACGCCGAAAGGCACATAGTGCTGATGCCAAGTGTCAGGCATCACTGCATCACCGAGAAAGCAATTAAGAGACCGTGCTGCATGAAAGACAACCTCATCTACTCCTCCAAGGAACTCTTATGAATGTCAAGCCAAAGGGATTGCTCAACCCTAAACCCTTAACCCCATCCGAATCCCTAGACCAGGCACCACAGTTGTGCTCGCTCCCTCCGTAGATGAGGCCAGTCTTCTCATCAAGCCTCACCAAACCGCGCAATTGCTTTGAACGACACAAACACAGCCATGATCTTGACTGACTGTAAGCTGGCTGGTGCTTGCAAATCGAAGTCTAATGCCGGATCATTCACGCTTTAATTCTGACTTTGGTGCCGTGAGTGCGGGCATTCAATCGCTTATAAGCCTTATCATGCTTGAAGGGCCTCAACCCAGCCACTCCCACATCCCCCCAAACTAAAGGCTGGAGTGGCCTTACGCTGACGTCGAAGCCCCACTCGCTCATATCGTCATCAATGCCTCAGCGCATGCTATATAATGCTTGAGCTGTGCATCTTCAAGCCTCACAAATTCTTGAATTCCTAAGCACATCCCCAATGAAACAGCCAGGACGTGAACAACTGTACCATAAACAAATCGGATGAGCTTGGCTGCGTGAAATAGCCTCCCTGCGGAATACAAAGCATGGCATGGCATTCTTGCGGCAAAGTCATGCATGATTTGTTGTATCCGACTTCCCGCCCACAGAAGTGGTTGTTCCATCTGCTTATTCGTCCTCTTAGCTGCAGAATGGCTTTCAGGTGATTGCAGGGAGGATGACTGTTCTACCTTCCCTCTCACCCACTCCCGCATCCCGTCCTATGACCAGGGGGGTATTGCAAAACAGCGGAGAGGGGAGCGAGAGGCGCTGCTCGGTGAATAGGAAAAGCCACGCTGCTCAGACCCTTTTCAACCGGGATCTTACAGCAGCTGTCAGCTCAGTTTTGGTCAACTTTTTTTTATAACCAGGCCTCTCTTGGTCCCTTAGCCCCCAAAACTTCTCAAGTATGGAGCGTTGAGCCTAAATCTCGTTTTGCCGCAAACCCCGAGCTACGTTTTTGCAGTCTGGCTGCCCTTTCCTGCATCAGGACCACGTCCAGCGCCCCACTCACGGAAGTTGATTCCCTACCATGGAAGGGCTTGCCAAACAATACTTGAAGGTTCAGGGATCTTAGCAACTACTTATAACTGAGCAAGAGATTTTAAGCCTACTTACATTCCCACCAGATGGCTTCCTAAGTGCTGCAGAAAATACTACCCCAAAGAAATAGAAAGGGGCCTAACTCACTGATAAGTAGCTATTAAGTCCCACAAGCCTCTAAGCAGGATTGCAAAATGCGCATTGCCCAGCAAGCTGTGTCTCCGGCCCAGATAATTCTCAGATAATTCAGCACACATGCGAAGGCTTCTGTTATCATGGCCCCATTCGGAATTTCCACGTGCATGTTTGGGGGTACATATAAAAGCAATCGCTTTCTTTTTGAGAAAGCAAACGCGCACATTTACGACAAACTTGGAGGTTGTCAAAGCAAGCTCGTACAATACCCTCTTCCTTCTAATCCTTACACGTCTAAACCTCCCAAAGATGGCTAGGCAAAATCGCCAAGCTCAGTGGGCTTGCGAAAGCATCGTCTCTAAATGCAGGGCCCGGAACAGTTCGAATCGGGTTTTGGGGCGCAGCCTAGGCGGATTGAGACAGGCAAACCCTTTCTCAGTTTTCTGCTTCCACATGACTGCGGATGCTGCAAGATGCCGGTACCTGACCTTATTGATGCCTGGAAAGTTGTTGAACCCCATCCTCTCAGGATTCCACAAGACAGGAGTGACAATGATATCTGCCCTTCAAATGAGATTTTCAACATCAGAAAGTCAAAGCAGCAAGCTTGAAGAAATCTCAGGGCATATCTATGGCCTTCGCGTGGGCAGAGAATATGAGATGGATCAAATCTGCGATGGTCTTGACCTTGGCTTGTTGCTCACCAAGCAGGGATAAACAAGGCTACCTAGACATCCCAAACACCCAGTTTAATATAAATCCTAGTATCCATTGCGGCAACTGTTACTGCAAGAGGGAATGACCCAACCCACAGTAATAGCAGCTCAACCCTTGATGATGCTCATTTGGGCTACGATCCCGAATTGTTCATTATTACTCTTGTTGCTGCTGTTCATATTACTAATACTACTGTGACTATGGTTATGAATATTATTAGTAGTACCATGATTACTATTCTTTTTACCCTAAACCCTAAACCCTAAATTATTTGGGAGGCCCAGGTGAACCCTAGGGCCATGTTCTCAGGTGCTAGGGCCCAGCGACCTCCACATGGGCCAGATCTGGGTCCCAGTCCTGCCACCAATGTTAGGGTTAAAGCTGTAGGGCTAAGGAAAAAAGCTAATGCTTTAGGGCGTAGGGTTTAGGGTTTAAAGTTTTGTTCCTATGTGAATGTTTTTGTTCTTTACCACTTTCGCGCCACTAGCACTGCCATTGTCATTATCCGTATTATGTAGGGGTTACGATATCAGGGCTGGGTCCGTTTGAGGGGCTCTGCAGGGGTTGAACTGGGATACATAGAGATACATCGGGGACTGCTAAGGTTCAGAAGTTAAAGTCTGGAAATTCCGTGCATCTTGTTTTTGGGGTCTGCATGGCACGAAACACTAAAGCCATCTGCAACAATCGACGTTTTCCTACTTGTCTTCTTGGGCGGCCACTAAAGATAGGATGCCTTTGCTTTGGACACCTACATCAAGAAATACACAAACGTATACTGTGCCTTTTTACACGTGGAGCTGAGTCCGGTGCCAAAATAAAGGAAGGCCAAAGGACTCGTGCCTGCCACAGCCCAACTTCAAATCCTAAACTCTAAACGGTAACCACTCAATCCTAACTCCTAAAGCTATAATCCTAAACGAGTAAACCCTCAGTCCTTGACAGCCCACTTCAGGCTTACAGGGGCAGACAGGAAGTCCATGCCTTCTGGCGCTTCCGCCACGTAATCCTGGATTGCCTGACACGGTGTAGGGTTTAGGGTTTGGGGTTTAGGTTTCAGGGTCTAGGGTTGAGGGGGCACAGTTTAGCGTTTAAGGGTGTAGAGTTTAGGCTTAGGACGAATAATTCGCACCAGGTTTTAGAGGAGAATATTCCGAATGACTCATGCTTCTTATCCTCACATGGGTTGTTCTCACAACTATGGCCCTGTTCGGCCACCAATTGCAGTACTTGGGAGTGGAACAGCTGTTGGAAACTAGTAAACGCAAGACCCGCATGCAAAAGGCCGCCGTCCTGACTCATCAGGGAAGCTGACCTAGGGGCCTCAGTAAACGGAATTGGGATTAGGGTAGGCTTCTACATGAAAACCTGGATGTTTCTGGTCCTTTCGGGCAGCCTTTACATGAGGGACTCTGCTTCGGGAAGGACCTTGGGAGACAGAAGTACTGGCTATGCTTCAAGGGATGGTGGCGGGTATACGCTTTAGGGGTGACAGACATGCACGGACAATCCTTTACCTCGAATCTAGATCATTCCGGCCATGAGCCTTTGGTCCAGCCTGCATGAAGAACCATGTGGCGTCGCGGGCATTGTAGCGGGGACGGTTCGCGGCATCAAGGAGATTGGGGCAAAGGCCTCAGATGTTCTTAGCAACCATACACTTTCACGCGGACATTTCCTGAGACCTACAGGCCTAGCACAGTCGAAGGCATGCGCTTGATCAATGGATGTGAGGTGTCAAGCCGGATTCGTAAACTCCCGTCAGTTCTACACAATTTTGGGTTCTCTCAAACCCTATACAGTATACATCCCCCATGAAACCCCTATAAGAAGGCCATTATTCCATGTGTTTTATTTTGCCCCAAACCCTAAACTGTTGGGGTTCACATCCAGGCTTGCAAGAGGCCGTGACGAATCACGCTGGCATAGACCAGAAGTGTGTCCCTAGCCTGAGCACATGACAGTACACCAGAATGTATGGTCCATCCATTAGGCGTCGGGATTTGGGTTTAGGGTTTAGGAATCATGTGGAAAAGGAATTGGAAAATGAAATGGAGACTGGGATTGGAATCTCGTTCTTCCCCGAACTAGCTGATCTGTGTACATGAGCCGCCGCGGAGGGTGGTAAGTGTAGAAAGCACCATGCGATATCGGCCTGGGGAATATAATCCAGGGTTCATCAGGGGAAGTCGCGTGCTGTCAGCCTAAGACCCTTGAGGCCACGTTGCCCCTAAAGACCAACGACTTGGAGCTGAACTCAACAGAATGAGGCTGCCTCTGAATTGAACCTTCACCCTGTGTTTGTTCGTTACTTTGCGCATCTTGGAATATTTTACTCTGGAGTGACAAGCCACACAAACTTGAACCCTTAACCCCGCAGACACTAAACCCTGAATCCTACACCCTAGACCCCACACTTTTTGTGCATCTGGGCTCGCGCACAGCCAGAAGCTTACAAACCCTAAACCCTGTACCTGAAACCCTACACGCCCCCAAAAACAGGCCTCCTGAAAGTGCCCGGTAACCAGCAGGCAGCCCTGTGCAGTGCTTCCGTGCTTCCACAACGCCGGGAAACGAGGGCGTTAGGGGTTTAGGAGGTTGGGTCTAGATCTATATTCCTAGGCTTTGGGGAAGCGGGCTTTGTTTAGAGAGTTTAGGGTTTAGGGTTTAGCCGGGCTGCGGCTTGTGGTTTTGGACTGACCTTCAGAAACCTACGCTTCCCAACGCTAGAATCACACTCAGTAGACTTCCAGATGTTGTGCGCGCGCCAGAAACTCTTTCGGTGCATAAGACGGTTAGGAGCATGCTGCCGCAACACGCGAAGTGCAAAGGGCTGATTTAGCCATTTAGCAACGGGTCCTCAACTCCGATCATTCTCCTGAGTCCTGCTACACCCCGATGAATCCTTGGAGCACTGGAGTTAAAGACCGCAAACCCCGCTCCTTGAGTGCAATGAAGGTGTCCCGGCCCCAGTTTCGCATGAAGCCGGCCGCGAAGTGGGGTAGGCCGGCCTCTAGCTTCAAAACAGCACATGGCAGCGCAACAAATGACCCCCAAGCCTGAAGCCCATATAATCACAGACAGAACCACCTCTGTATCAGCATAACCTTCCTCCAAAATGTCAAACGAAGAAGATGGCACGCACGAGCCCTGATTCCTGGAGCCCAATGCCAAGCTAGCATGGGAAGCCAAACCGCGTTGAGCGTTTAGAAGCAACCCAAGAAGGGCGGCGCTCTTTTATTCTTGGTTGGCACTCGCTTTGGTATCTCTCACAACTCGAATTCCGAGCCCATATCCCAAAACCATGTCTAGAAATGCCAAGCATGAAGAGCCCCAGCATCCTGAGAAACCCTACACTCCATAAGCACACACCACAGCTGGTAGTTACCCTAAATAGGCTGACTGACCCCAATAATCCTTATTCTGCAGACCTCCACCCCGGTACCTCCCCCAAAATATCCCTTTGACCATGAACTCCTAGTCTGAGACAAGCCACGCAAAGGGATGGCAGCTTGTGCCAGCCCACCTGCTGCGCAAGGTTACCGCGATCCGCGTGTTACCTACAATGCTCCTTCATGGGAACCCCAGAACCCCTTTGTAGTCCCTATATGTCCCTAGGGTGCCCAGGCTTAAATCACTTACCATTTACTTCTCTTACCGGGGCTCAGTAGCGAACAAGGGAATATTATATTTATATATATATATAAGATAGGGACTATATGATATGTTCCCTTGTTCCCTTATTCCCTGCTCAACCCCGGTAAGAGAAGTAAAGAAGCTCCCCACCTGTTGCGCAAGGTCCCAGTGCAGAGGCGCCGACTTGGTGGCACCCCAGAACCTGGAACTCTAATTCCTCCCTGCAGTAGCAGACCCTCCAACGTAATCCCATATTCATCAGTATGGGGGGGTGGGAACTTACTGGGAATCAGATTGTATCAGAATTTTCCAGGCATTATATGTAAGGGACACCGGGGCCTAAATTAAAGGGTTGGAATAAGGCTTGGGGCATACATGAAGGTTCGGAGATCGCGCCTTGCAAGCTGCCGAAAGCTCAGGACCCAACGATTACGGATGAGGGCTTGGTGCTAGGTAGGGCAATATCACATGGGAGTTTCTGGACACAATGCCGATATGATGTGCCCCACAATCTCCTCGTAGGTTGATATATGTTTTTCCTAGGGTCCCACGGATGTCCATGTTTTGAGAAGCCCTCAAAACCTGAGATAAGGTTTGGGATGTAAGGACCTGTAGCCAAGAAGTTCTTTTTGAGCATTTAGGCTTAGTATACTGAAGCTCAAAATCCATGTCAACAACGACCCAGGCCGTGCTTCCCCAAGCATCCACACCCAACTTGGAGAGTGAGCTCCTCCTAAATGGCCTTGAAGGCATTACCCCTTTGCAAGTCGGTAGGCTAACCGCAGATGTAAGTGGCTAGGGGTTCAGTCCCATGACCTTGGATGCAAATCCCAAGCCGCCAAAGAACTGAGTGGTTGCCAACGCAACATCGCGTACCAAGTCAGAAGCTCCTTAGCATGGCACAGGGTAAGAGCTTCAACTCCTTCAATTGCTCAAGCAACCCGGCTGGTTTTCAGGATTCAAATGGTGTTTAAGGCTCAAGGCTGAGGTCAGTCAGTCAGTCGGTCATACGCCGGGCGGCGCGTGGACAGGTAAGAGTTGGCACACTGTGCGATGCCAGACAAAGGTCCCTGGGGGTAAAACATGCAGAGCTGACGACTCGTCACTGGACTCTGTGCAAGGACAACTTTGCCGACAAGCCCGTCAGGCGTATACCAACCAAAGGTCACAAGTAGCAAAAAACACATACTTCACGCGGACCTTTAGAAGGCCCCCAAGTAGGGGGCATTTCTCGGGATTCACTATGCTTGCTATAATCTTTTCAAGTCCAGAACAAAGGAAGCAAAAGCTGAAAGCCAAAAAACAACCCTCTTAGGCACCTAGCTGTTCAGACACCTAACACAACCCCGATCATCACCCTGATCAAAACACCTATATTGGTGCCTTTCTGAGACATGGTTAGAAATCCCAATTCTGCATCCCTCTTTTGGGTTTGAGTGTATCACAAACCAAAAGAACCATCTTCTACGATGACCCGGCATAGGGATTCCTGCTAGGCTCGTCATGAATGGACGGGGTCTCAAATTGGTTGCCGCTACGAAAACTCACATCCAGATACAATAAGGCTCAATAAGGAAACCCTGCTGTTTACTTTTTATAAAAATAGATAGATAGATATATATGTATATATCCCCATCTTGTGGCAACTTGACCCCAAACCCTATCTAATCCCTGTAACAGTCTTACTTAGCCATGTTTACAGCAAACCCATGATGGTTAGCTGAAAATGACTTACTGGTTCTTAGTAGGGAAGGAAGGAATACAATACCGATTTTATATATTGCATATTCCCTGCCAAGAACCAGGAAGGTAAGTTCTTAGCACCAACCCGATCATCAGTCCCAAGGTGCCGCTGAACTCCGAGACGAAGTCGGAGGACAAGTCCAACAGCCTTTCTTACTGGTTCTTAAGAAGGAAGAAGGGAATATATGTCACAGGGATTGTATTCCCTTAGTCCCTCAGAACCAGCAAGTTCTGGTGCTTCTGGGGGAAAGTAGGGTTTCGGGTTCCTAGCTGTTTCCTGGGTCCCACCTGTCCGTAACTATGGGCGGTTACTAAGGTTTGTCGGGTATGTTAAGGAGGCTAGGATTAAGGGCCCCAACAAAAGTTGAAACCTCAGAGAATCAAGATGAGGTGTAGGTTTTTGGAATGGGAGATTGTCAACATTAACTCCTACGGGCCGTGATACACAGGGATCCTATAAGCGATCATGCTTTTGATAGCCAATCATGAAGAGTTTAGGAAATCGGGTTGAGGGCTGCTTCAAAAGCAGTGAAAATCTGGTCGGGGTTATGGTAGAAATCTGAACCTAAAGTGATCTAATGTGGGACCCTCCTTAAAGAGTATGTTCCCCCCCCTCCACCGCCCCTTGCAATAGGGCCCTATCGGCTGACTCTGCAGCTTCTGCCCGCCTTGCCCTTATTAGGGGGTGGATCCTTACAGAAGTAGATACACAAGTTTGTGTGTACACTTAGAAAACATAACCCCCAAAGAATCCCAAGCAATAGCCCTGTAAGCCACATACCCTGTCATGTGCTGATCACCTGGCATCAGCCCCCTTGAAGTCTTGGAAAAACACTGCCAGGGGTCCGTGTCCCTGACATACTCTTGGCTAAACGGGCGCCTGCAGGGATCTCTGACTCAACTTGCTGGACGCACCCAGAAGGTGTGTCCGGAGAGGCTTTCGAAAGAGATGTAAGACATCCGCAGCAGCAAGCAGCAGCTTTAATAAAGCATGCCCACAACAACATGGCAATAAGGCAAGAGTCTACTCACTGGTTTTCAGTAGGGAATGGAAGAATGCATCCCTGTTACACGCCCTATATCATCCAAAATGCATTCATACTTTTTCCATTCTCTTTCTATGTTCCTTCATTCCCCCCCCCAAAGCCCTGTGTACTTATATCATGTTCCCCTACCACCCCCTATACTACACCCCCTTAGGTTCCCCCTTTTGGCTATTTTGGGATAATCCGCAAGACCATACGTACTGGCAGCCAGGACGCAATGAAAGAATAACCCTAAACCCTAAAAGAGGGATCATTGATGGGGATTCCAAAATGGCAGGACTCTCACTTAAAGCTCCAAATATGCCCTCACGAATGTGCCTAGGGAACCCTATATACATTCATCACATACCAACAACGAAACCCTACCTCATATCGAAATTGTCAGGCTTCTATGGGTGAAATTCGATAGCTACCCATATGGAGGCTTGCCAAAAATCCCTTTTTGCTTTTAGTTCTCCGGGAATCCAAAGAGGAACCATAATTTTGACAAACCTCCCCGGGATGACTGTAAGGATCCACTTCACGCTTCCCTGCCAACCACCAGCAGGCAAAAGAGATCTCCGCATGTCACGGAATTTTGCAATGCGGACCAAGAGGCATCTTGCTCGCTGAAGCACAGAGTCCCGGCACAAGCAAGTCAAAGTAGAACCTTTGCATTCTGCACAGCCATCGAAACCCCTGCCCGTGAACCCCTACCACGGATCCCGGTAAAGTGCTTGTCCTAAAAAGAGCATGGGGGTTAGGGCATGTCTCTTCTGAATGGTCCGAATTAAGCTTCTGCTCAACATAAGGCTGCAAAGCATCGTGAACCTGGTTAAGAGCCAAAGCTACTTCACGAATTGAAGTCACCTGGTAGTGTGAGGAGCCTCGCTCGACTGTTTTCATCCATGCACTTTGGATCTCAGCCTTAAAGTCACGGCCACTGAGCCAAAAACCTCCAGTCAAAAATTCTTCTTTCATGCTTCAGTAAGCTAAGGTACATGGCACTGGAATCTCTACTCATCCTCGCGTAGATGGAAGCCAAAACATTGGGGCAACATGAATTTTCGCTCTGTCTCAACAAGTTCTACCTCAATCGCTTACAGACTAAGATTTGAGTCCTGAGCCAGGTAAGCATGTTAGGAAACGCACTTCAACACATGCATTGCTAGGCAGTATGCATGCAAGAATCCCAGCCTTCAATCCATTATCCATGTTCATTTGCACGTGGTTCTCCATTTTGCATATATCTCTAATTGACCGTGCCCTACAGCCTAAACTGCAAATGATATAGAAAGTTCCTTGTTCCCTTCCATTATTCCTAACCTCCAAGATTGACACGCAGCGCCGAGGTACGGCGCCAGCTTGCGCGGGCAGTTGTTCAAAATGGCAGCAGCCTTCTCCAACCACTCCTGGAGTAAAGTCTGAGTTAGGGTTTAATAGGTTTTGAAGTGCGGGATAGACGTCTAACTGAAGGGAACAAAGTTAGGCTTTAGGACGGGTCAGTGGTTTGGGGCGACAAAGCTGAAGCAACTATAACTATAACAAAGCTTTCGAAAGCCTTACGGTGTTTATGG